GAATGTTTTTATTCTAAAGAATAATTTCTTTCTTAATTTCGAATAGAATTTACCAGTGAAGCCATGTGAACAAGAATTTTCTTTGCGAGAAGATTTTTAATTAAAAATTCAATTTTTAAATAGATATAGGGAAATCAGAATTTTTTGAGTCAGTTTTAATGTTTTTCAAATTAACTTTTTTTTTTCAAATTAACTTTTTTTATTGTGAGATACCTGTAGCTTCATATGCAGTTGGAAGAAATACTACAGAGAGATACCATATACTCTTTACCCATTTTCCCCAATGGTAACATCTTGCAAATCTCTAGTACAATATCGCAATCAGAATATTGACAATGATACAGTCAAGATACAAAACATTTCATCACAGCAAGGATTTCTCCTGTGGCCCTTTTAAAGACACACCCATGTTCCACCCACACCTACACCCTCCTTAATCTCTGGTGAACACTAATCTGTACTTCATTTCTATAATTTCATCATTCCAAGAATGTTATCTAAGTGGAATCACACAGTAGGTAACCTTCGGGCTTTTTCTCTTTTCACTCAGCATAAATTTCTAGAGATTTACCCAATGGTGTGTGTATTAATAATTCATTTCATTTTATTTCTGAGTGGTATTTCATAGTATGGATACACCACAGTTCATTTAATATTAAATTCACCCATTTCAAAGCATTTGGATTGTTTCCTATTTTTTGGTTGTTACAAGCTGCTGTAAACACACATGAAATTTTTTTATGACTTACGTTTTTATTTCTCTGTGATTAATGCCCAGGAGTGCAATTGTTGGGTCATATGTTAGTTGCATTTCTAGTCTTTTAAAGAAACTATCAAACCATTTCCATAGTATTTGTGTCATTTGACATTTCCACTAGCAACGTATGGATGATCCAATTTCTCTACATCCTTTCCTGTTGTTAATGTTGTCACTATTTTTAATTTTAGCCATTTAGATAGGTATGTAGCAATTTTTCATTTTGGTTTAAATTTGATGATGGTTTTCAACATCTTTTGATGTGCATATTTGCTGTTATTGTCTTCAGTGAAATATCTTTTCATGTCTTTTTCTCATATTCTAATTAGATTTTGCTGTTTTTACTGCTGTTGTCTTTATATATTCTAGACGTTAGTCTTTTGTCAGATACGTGGTTTGCAAATATTTTCTGCCAGTCTGTAGCTTGTCTCTTCATTCTTTTAGCAGAGATTTTTACAGAGTAAAAGTTTTTAATTTTGACAAAGTACAGTTTATCCATTTTTCCTTTTATAGATGGGGTTTTGGCATCAAGTCTAAGAACTCTTTGCCTAGCTCCAGATTCTGAATATTTTCTTCTATGTATTTTTATCAAAGTTAATAGTTTCGCATTTTGTATTTAATCCATGATCCATTTTGAGTTAATTTTTGTATAAGTTGTGAAGTTCAAGTTGAGGTTTTGGGCTTTTTTTTTTTTTTTAAATAATGCATCTAGATTTTTAAAAAAAGACCAGTTACAACTAATGGTTATTTAGTGCTACAAAATGTAACCAATGGCATTAAAGACTTTGTGTTTTCAGATATTGAATTCCTTCAATGGCAAA